ATTTGTTTGTCTATCAAGAGCTTCTTTTGTTGGTGATCATTTCCTTTATTCTCATGATTTGACTTGGGGTGATATTGTGAGGAGAAATTAGTTGTTAAGTTTTCTAGGTGTCAAAGGGTGAATGGAAATAATTGCTAGGGTAATGGAATATTTTTGTCATCATTTTCTCTTGTTGTGATCTAGCTATTTATGGCTTGTAAACATGGAAGAGAAGCCAAGTGGGTTACACTTGTCTAAAAATTCATAGAAAAGAGAAGGTACATTTTGGTATGACAAGTATAATTCAAATCATCTTCTGATTGACGTGAAGTGTAGACTATTCATGTAACATCAGTGTCAATCTTGTTCCCTGAGTCCTTGCCTTGCCTGACGAAGACTGAAAGAGCGAACGAGAGATATTTTGTGCCGAGCTTGTGATAGATGGGGCGTGTTCACGTCGTTTTTTCTTCCTTAATATCTCTGTTGTCAAAACGTTAACTTCTTATACTCGTCTCTTAAGGCATTCTGGGGCTGAAACTCGAGGGGGTCTCGGTGTCTTTCCCGAGTGTTGCTCATCACTAAGAGATATTTGGAGGGATCTGTTCTTAGAAACAAGGACATTCTGTGGAAGATGGAAGACTTACAGCCAATGTCAGCCACTGAGGAAACTTCTTTCTGTGTGGAATTAATGAAGCGCCTCAACATGCAGCGAAAACAAGATTACTTGTGCGATTTTGCTTTGTTGACGAACGATGACAGAAAGTTAAACGCTCACAGAAATATCCTTTCCGCCGCAAGTCCGTTCTTTTGCAAACTTCTTCAGAGTGACATGAAGGAGAATCGAGAAGGGGTTGTTCGGTTTGAGGAGATTTCAGGATCTATTATGGAAGATGTATTGGAATTCATCTACACAGGAACTGTAGAAGTAACTTCTGAGAATGCCAAGGAATTGATCGCCGCTGGTAACTACTTGATAATGCCGAGCTTGAAGAAAATTTCAGGCCGATTTCTGGAACTAGAAATGACCACGTCCAACTGCATTTCAACCTTTTATTTTGCCGAGAAATATGATTGTGGCGAGCTTATTGACAATAGTCAGAAATTCATCCGTTCAAACTTCTCGTCCGTAGCGACAATGCATGAATTCTTACGCTTGGATGTTATGGAAACGGAACGTTGGCTATCAAGTGATGACATTTCGGTCGAAGTGGAAGCAGATGTTTTTAAAATCATTTTAAAGTGGATTGAACAAAATGAAAGTGAGCGGAAAGGAGCTTTGGAGAAGTTGTTTCGTCACGTTCGATTGGACTTCTTATCGCGTGACTATTTAATTGATGTCGTGACAAACGAATTTGTCCAAGAAAACTTTGTTTGTTTAAAGACGGCCCTGGATGAGTTGAAAAGGTCACCTTTTCAGATGAAGTTTGCCATACCCAGTCACCGAGAATAGGGTTCAAAACAAGCGCCATTGTAGCCTGGGGAGGAAAATACTTCTTATGTTATCTTCCTGAGAAGAACAAGTGAAAGCGTTTAGCCAACACGCCCGACAGCACCGTGTTTCCCATGGTAGGTGACGCCGTTGTTCAATATCGTGGTCAGCTGTATTTTTTTTCTGCTGCTGAATTTGTATACAGATATGATCCAGTTGTTAACAGTTGGTCTTCATTGGACCTCTCAGTAGACGATGATTACTACAAGATGGCTGTCGTTAGAGGAGATATCTATGCTGTGGGGAAGCTGGACACAAGTGAAGAGCAAACCAAGGTCATCAGATATAATATTGAGTTGTGTGCATGGGAAACAGTTCTCTTATCTCACAGTGGCTTTAGACAAGATGCTTGTGTTGTTGCAGCTGGCAGACATCTCTATGTGATTGGTGGGCGGCATTCGGAAGGTCGATATGTTGCGAAAGCCGAGAGATTTGACACTGTGAAAAACACATGGGAGGAAATTGCTGACATGAAGGAAGAAAGAGGCGATGCTTTTGGAGTGGCCATAAAAGAGAGAATCTTTGTTGCTGGTGGAAGGCACAGAGAGAGAAATTCATTGTTACAAACTTGTGAGATGTACGATATTTCGGCAAATGAATGGCAACTTGTTGGGAGCTTGAATGCTCCTCGTGTACATGGTAGCATGGTTTGTCTCAATCAAAAATTGTGTGTCCTGGGTGGAAAGAATGAACATGATAAAGCTGAACTAAATGTAGAATGTTTTGATCCAACAGAGGCAAAGTGGATCCAGAGGACAATCATACCAGTGAGGACGATTGAGAAAAAAAATAAGGACACGTTCATTGGGTGTGTACTGAAGCTTTCCAGAGGAATGCTGGATAGACTCAGTATTGTTGAGGAGTGACTCATTACTCTTACATGTATTAAGCAGAGATTATTCGTGGTTATTGTTAATAATATGTGTAATTAGTTTAGTATGCTTGATTTCCACCTTTTTTCTGAGGACATTTAACTCTTTTTATGAGCCAAAATTTGAACTGCCTTGAGTGAAGATTGAATGAAGAATATACCTAAAATTTTTTAATGGCTCCAGTTTGATTGGTTTTGAGGAAATCATAATGTAGACCACCTTACAGTTGTGTGCTTTGTTGCCAAGTCTTTGAAGACAACAGGAAGGCTCTTGAGGATGATTTGTCATGATAGAGATGGTAAATTGGTAACAGAGGAGTATTGAAGATAAAACACAGAAGAGTTTTAGTCTCAACAAATTGTCTGCCTTTACCCTTTCACTCCCAAGATCTCATTAGTAATTCACCTTACTGTCTGCATATAATTTTTATGTTGTTATTTTGGAGAGTTTGATACTGGATCAACTAATAATCCCCTAAATAGTAATTTTCATTATTCTCATCACACTTCTGCTTGATATTGTAATGATTATGTTGGGAGAAATTCTTTCTTGGTCACTTGTGAAAGTGAAAGGGTCAATAGCCAGGGTGACACTGGTATATAGCAATGGAGTGAACAAAGTGGACTGTAAAATGGACTTTTTAAAGGCAGATATACAAAATAGCACTTAGCTCAGCCCCACAACTAGGATTGACTATTTAACTTTTGAATACTTGCCATTTGTCTGCAATTTTTTTTAATGTTTCAGTACCAACAAAGTTTACTTCCATAAGCCTTTTTTGCATGCACAGAGAACTTTAGGGTATTAGGTAAGACAACTTTTGCATAGCATGTTTAACCATTTATATATGTAATTATCTACTTATTCAGTTGTTGCCTAATTTTATAGAATTGATTGGTGGCAATCATTGTTAAAGGTATTAAGTTTAAGCAAAATTACTAAGCACAATAACAAAAGATTTCTCTTCAATTGATGAGAACACTCAGAGTTGCTTTAGGTGCCTGTTGAATACCAACTTTAAGTTTCTTGTGGGCTCTATAGCACCACTGGCAAAGAAGAGTAGACATGTAATGGTTGAAATGTTACTTGAGAGCAAGCATCTCAAGGGAATGAGAGATGTTTGTATTATGTTAACTGTTGACACATACATAGCTACAATGGGTGACAAAAGTAGATTGTAAACATAATAAATAGAAATCATGTTACTTTCTCTCCAATAACTTTACTTGAAAGTCTCCCCTCTCCCCCCACCCTCCAAACAATGTTGCTTGGTAATTACAATTGTTTAATACCAACAACATGCAGCACCATGGCAACATTTATACAAAGGAGGGGGGGGGGCTGGGATGATAAATGAGAGTTATAGAAACAATTCAAAAGTATAATAGCATGCCAAGACTTTTTAGAACCACCTAGCCTTTCTTCCTTAGAACTCTCCCCAATATATAACTTATTTCCCTTCAGTCTTATACTCTTCTCTTGAGGGATTTTGGGGCTGGATAGGGTGGGAACGAGGTAGAGAACTTCCCATTCTGACAACTTTCTTAAAGTATTCCACACCACTAAAAGGTATTTGGAGGGATCTGTCCCCGGAAACAAAGATATTCTGCAGAAGATGGAAGACTTACAGTCAATCTCAGCCGTTGAATAACCTACTTTCTGTGTGGAAATGATGAAACGACTCAACATTCAGCAACAACAAGATTATTTGTCCAAAGATAACAGCTAATTAAGAGTTAAAGGCTCACCGAAAATGTTCTTTTTGCCGCAAGTCCGTTCTTTTGCAGGCTTTTTCAGAGCGACATGAAAGGAAATAGAAAAGGAAATATTCGATTTGAGGAGATTTTAGGATATGTTAGGGAAGATGTTTTGGAATTCATCTACACACTGGAACTGTCAAAGTAACTCCGGGGAATGCCAAGGAGCTAATCGCCGCTGAAAAATATCTGATCATACCAAGTTTGAAAACAGCTCGGCTTTAGGGCGGTTTTGGAACGAGAAATGTCGAACTTAAGCTTTATTTCAACCTTTTACCTCGCTGAGAAATATGAGTGAGACGAGCTTATCAACATAACAACGACAGTTTTTTTTATAAATTAACGAAAACATAGTTTACGTTGCAAAACTGGATGAATTTTTGCACTTGGAAACTACAGAAGTCGAGAGGTAAATTTCGAGTGACGAGATTAGATTCAAAGGGGAAGCTGAAGTCTTTAAAATCATATCAAGCAGGGTAAACCATAGTAGGAGTGAGCGAAAGGCAGGATCAGGATTTGATGAATTTTTTGGTGACGTTCGACCGGGTTTTTTGTTGCGTGACTGTTTGGAGGATGTCGTGAGAAAGGAAATCCCAGGGAAATCGCAGACATGCTGTTCTTTTACTGTTATTTTGTTTGAAGCTCTATTTTTGTATAGATTTGCGACGCAAATAGAAGCAAAATTTACACAAAATTCCCCGGGAAGGAAGATTACCGTTCATAACTCAATAGTTGTGCTGGATTTGAGCCGAGGTTATCCTTTATTCTTCATCTTTGTGCCCTCTGTACCTTTGAACAATTAAAATTTATATATCTTTTTATATATTTCTTCCTGCAAATATGCCTTAAGGATATTTTCTCAAAATAGTTCAGGTTCTGTCTTCCCCCCTGTATCCCAAGATTATGCCCACAGCCCTTTCGGGTCACCTTGGGGTTGTTTTGGCTAATCGTCCTCAAAGTCTTCCATCAAACTCGGAAAAAGAAAATCGAACGAGCGTAGGGAAAACTGGGAACCAGCTTTACTCGCTTTGGATATTTTCGCTGAGTAATCCACAATATCAGAAAAGTTTGAGCAGAAACTACCCACAGAAACAAGGAAATTCTGTAAAAAATGGAAGATATGTACAGGCTATCTTAGCCGCTTGGCAGGAGCCTTTCTGTGTGGAACTGATGAAGCGCCTCAACATTCAGCGAAAACAAGATTATTTGTCCGACATCACTTTGGTTTCGAGAGACAACATAGAATTTAAGGCTCATAGAAATGTGCTTTCCACCGCAAGTCCGTTCTTTGACAAACTTCTTCGGAGTAACATGAAAGAGAATCGAAAAGGGATCGTTCGCCTCGAGGAGATTTTAGGATCTGTTCTGAAAGATGTTTTGGAATTCATCTACACTGGAACTGTGGATGTGACTCAAGAGAATGCCGAGGAACTGATCGCTGCAGGAAATTATATGATCATGCCGAGCTTGAAAACTATTTCAGGGCGGTTTTTGGAACGAGAAATGTCATCCATAAACTGTATTTCGACCTTTTACCTCGCTGAGAAATATGAGTGTGACGATCTTATCACCAACAGCAGGCGTTTTATTCATGAAAACATCGTTTCCGTGGCAAAACTAGATGAATTTTTGCACTTGGAAGCTAAAGAGATCGAGAAGTGGATTTCGTCCGACGAGATTACAGTCAAGGAGGAAGCTGATGTTTTTAGAATCATATTAGACTGGATAAACCACAGAAGGAGTGAGCGAAAAACAGCATTTGAAGAACTGTTTGGTCATGTTCGACTCGGTTTTCTGTCGCGTGACTCTCTGAAGGATGTCGTGACAAACGAACTGGTGCGTGAGAATTTCGCTTGTGTTAAGCTGGTGATGGATGCAACCGCACAGATGTCTAGCTTTGTTAATGAAGATGATTTTCTGCAATCACCAAGAAGATGTCTCGATACCCGTGTCATTGTAGTTCGTGGTGGCAAGTACACTTTTTGTTATATTCCTAGAGAAGACCTGTGGAAGCGCCTACCAGATGGTCTGAAGGACGAAAACGACCGGAACAATCGGATGATAAAATTTCGTAACCAGTTGCTCACTTTTACCGAAGATCAAATTTCAGAGAGATACGATCCTATTTTTAACATTTGGTCTGAGCTTAACTTGAGAAAAGATCGTGCAAAGTTTGCCGTTCTTAAAGGAGAAATTTATGCTGTTCATGTTGACTACTATTGTACGAGAACTGTCACAGAGAGATACAACGTAAAGCGGTATGCATGGGAGACAATTCACCCATATCATGAACTGTGTAGATGGGATGCTTGCGTTATTGCAGCCGGCAGCCATCTGTATGCGTTTGGTGGGAACATTCCACGCTCAAGTGAGTACGTTGCCATAGCTGAGAGATTTGACACTGTGGAAAACAAGTGGGAGAGAATTGCAGATATGTTGGAAGGAAGAAGCTACGCTTTTGGCGTGGCCTCTCGAGAAAAAATCTTTGTAGCTGGAGGAGAAAACATGACAGGAAGATTAAAAACTTGTGAGATGTACAATACGTTAACAAACGAATGGCACCTTGTTGCAAACTTGAAAGTCCCACGCTGTTATGGTAGTATGGTTTGTCTGGACGGAAAGCTGTACGTACTGGGTGGAGAAAGTCGCTACACCCGAAGTGAACTAAGTGTTGAATGTTTTGACCCTGCAAACGACCAATGGATCCAGGAAACAACCATACCAGTGACAAACATTGACCCAGAAAATAACGACATATTCACTGGCTCTGTTCTGAAGCTTTCAAGAGAATTACTAGACAAACTTATGATTGTTGAGCAGTAGTCTCTTGGACACTTTACAGCTTTAAAATTAGTCGTGTTGTTCATAGCAGACAGTTGGCACAGTCATTTTTTTAATTACCTTAATTTAGAAGCTCACCTAAGGAAATGCTGGGTTAAATCAAAGGCCCCCTCTTATTAGTCACTGTTTACTTTGAACCTTATACTTAAAACTCTCTCTGGGAGGGAAAACAAGCGTGAGTTGTTTTTCTTCTAAATTAGAACTAGGATCCTCCTGTCATCCTAATCTTTGTACCCTATGCCCTTTTGCTTGCGTTTATATTCAATCAGGGACCAATAATTAATTATTACTGGGGCCAACAGAGGGATTTTGGGGGATTAAACCTTTAACTCCCAAGATCTGATTGTCCATTCTCCCTGCTTGCTGCTACACATTTTCTTGTAAATTAGTTACAGGAATTTGCTGTTACATCAAGATAGCAACTTTTACCTGATAAGTTTGAGTATTCTCATTATATTTTAGCTGGATAATGTATGATTCAAGGGTGACATTGTAAGGAGAAATTAGATGCTAGTCACTCTCGGGGATCAAAGGGTTAACTTTGTAAAATTACTTCTAATGCATGTAAGAAAATAGTCATTTATTTAAAGAATGACATATAAGAAAATTGTTCTAAGCACAAAACAGAGAAGAGCTAGTTGTGAGGGCTTGAGCCCCACCCAGTTACAATTTCACTGTCAGATTATATTCTATCAGCTGAGCTACATAAAAGTAGTTGGTGACCCAGGTCACTGAATTTGAAGTAAATTTATGACAAGAAAAATGTTGTGCTTTGACTGCTTGTATTATAAGACAAAATGTACAGTGAAAGCTCTCTCCATAATCACTCCCCTAGAAAATGCAGTTTACAAGTATAAAATGGCAACTTTTACAGGCTTTCAAATACAAGTGCATGTATATTTTATACTGAAATGCTACCAGTCCAAATAAACAGCTAACTCATGGTATAACCAATCCCATAGCATATTTGAGCCTTGGTGTTATGCCATGTCTTTACTTCTGAAATTTTTCATGGGGTTGGGAGGAAGCAGAGCAAATCAAATGATCATTTGTTAGAGGATTGGACTATTTATTGGGTTCATGAGTGACAGGCATCCTGTATTTTATGCTGTATTCAGTTAAATGGCTAAAATGTATTTTTATTTTAAGGATGTTTCTATAACAAGCTGAATTCAAGTGGGCTTGCTTAATTTAACCCTTAAACTCCCAAGGTCTGATTGTTCAGTCTATCCTCTAGTTACTACAAATTTCTTTGTATATTGGTTATGAGAATTTGGTGTTAGATCAAAAGAACAACTTCAACCTGATAAGTTTAATTATTCCTATTACCAATTTGCTAGATATTGTGTGGATATTACAGGGAGAAATTACATGTTAATCACTTCTGGGAGTTAAAGGGTTTAGCAAAAAGTAAGTCAGATGGGACTCTAATCCTGGATCAAATAAACTGACTTTTTTTGATTGAGCAAAACCTAATTAACATTTGTGAAAAGAAAACTCTACAAAATTGTGCTAAAGTAAAACATGCCAATAGTGAGCACTATTTCTATTGTTTATAATTAGCATTTTTAAATTACAAACTTCAATTCCTCTTTCTAGAAGTTCTCAGATGTGTCAAGATGAGTGATGCTAAGTACAAATATTTCCAAAAAACTGGCTACTTAAAAAAACAGAAACAAAAAAATTAATATCAAAACAAAAATTAAAACATTTAGTTTTAGGAAAGAAAAATATTTTTTAACTTATCAAGGATTTGGTCTCTATGAGAGAAAAAAAGGCCAAGTCTTGTTGTTCTCTTGGCATAGCAACATTCTGCAGGGAAAATTCAATCATTTTCCATCTTGACTCAAGTTGATGGGAAAGTTCAGTCATTGTTCTATCTACGGGTAACCTTATCTATCTTTGATCCAGGGGATTCTATTACTGTCACATATTGTTTCTTCAGTGCATTTTCTTGAGGTTATTTTCTTTCATTTGAGTACAGTTTATGCCCAGTTATTAACTAACTAAATCCTCTTCTTCTGGATCAGCAAGATAATCCAATACTCTTCTGGAGAACCTTAGCACACAGCCTTTAAATGCCTGTTCATTCTTCCCATCCTCCTTCACTGGTATGGTTGTCTTCACAATCTGCTTGCCCTGTTTATAACAATCAACTGAATGTTCTGGGTTTTTCTTGGTTTGGTCAAAGCCACCCAGCACATACAATGTTCCATAAAGACAAAGCATGTTTACCATGTGTGCTGTAAACATTCAAGTTTGCAGTTAACTGCCATTAATTGGTGGAAATGTCTAAGCATGTCTGTGATTTCTTCCCATTTCTTTTCCATAATGTCAGATCTGTCAGCTTTTAGCAGGTATTCTGAGAAATAAGGAAACTATAAAAAATCAATGAACAAAAACTAAATTTTTCTTAAACACAAAAATCCGAATGTAAAACAGACAAGAGAGAAAACACTTGACACTTAAAAGTGAGAGTTAACCTTTCGATTACACTTTAGTTAATATGCACTATGATATGGACGAGCAGTAAATATTTTGGCCTCCTAGACAGATTTTATTGTACAGTTAGGATTAGTTTGAGCATTAGTTTATTTTTCCAAAGAAAGAATTGTCACTGGTAAGCAAAGGTATAAGAAACTTTTGAATACAACGAACCAATGGTCTTCCAAAGGGGCCAGTATTTCGATCTGTAAATCCTGCACTCTTCAGGGCCAGAAATTTTTTGGGCGACCTTTGCCTGTATCATTTTACGTGAAATCTTTTTTTGGAACTGAGAGGCCAAGTATGAGACCATAGCTATTATCTCGTCCCCAGCGAACCACGGCCAAGAGACTCGGAAAGTAAGACGGAAAACTGGGAACACTTAGACTTCAGCTTTCTATCTTTTCCGTGTGTTTTTCATTATCAGCTACATTTAAGCGGATTCTACTCAAGGAAAGTAAATGATGGAAGATATCCAGCCTATTTTAGTTGCTAAACAAGCATCAATCTGTGTGGAACTGATGAAGCGCCTCAACATTCAGCGAAAACAAGATTATTTATGTGACATTACTTTGGTGACGAACGACGACATAGAGTTTAAGGCTCACAGAAATGTTCTTTCCGCCGCAAGTCTGTTCTTTTGCAAGCTTCTTCAGAGCAACATGAAAGAGAATCGAGAAGGGATTGTTCGGTTTGAGGAGATTTCAGGATCCGTTATGGAAGATGTTTTGGAATTCATCTACACTGGAACTGTGGAGGTGACTCAAGAGAATGCCGAGGAACTGATCGCCGCAGGAAATTATCTGATCATACCGAGCTTGAAAACTATTTCAGGGCGGGTTTTGGAACGAAAAATGTCATACGCGAACTGTATTTCAACCTTTTACTTCGCTGAGAAATATGATTGTGACGAGCTTATCACCAACAGCAGGCTTTATATTCACGACAACATCGTTACCGTGGCAAAACTGGATGAATTTTTGCAGTTGGAAGCTAAAGAGATCGAGAAGTGGATTTCGTCCGACGAAATTACAGTCAAAGAGGAAGCTGATGTTTTTAAAATCGTATTAGACTGGGTAAACCACAGAAAGAGTGAGCGAAAAACAGCATTTGAAGAACTGTTTCGTCATGTTCGACTCAGTTTTCTGTCGCGTGACTGTTTAGAGGATGTCGTGACAAACGAACTGGTGCGTGAGAGTTTCACTTGTGTTAAATTGGTCATGGATGCAACCGTACAGATGGCTACCTTTGTTGATGAAGATGATATTCTGCAATCACCAAGAATATGTCTTTATACACGTGTCATTGTAGCTCGTGGTGGCATGTACACTTATTGTTATCTTCCTGAAGAAGACCTCTGGAAGCGCCTACCAGATGGTCTGAAGGAGCAAAACGCAAGTTCAACTCGGATGATAAAATTTCGTGGCCAGTTGTTCACATTCACCAATGATCAAAATTCAGAGATATACGATCCTGTTTTTGACGTTTGGTCCGAGCTGAACTTGAGCGCAAATTCTGGAAAGGTGGCTGTTCTTAAAGGAGAAATTTATGCTGTTGAAGTTGACAACTTTTGCAGGAAAACTTCCACGAAGAGGTACAATGTAACGCAGTATGCATGGGAGACAATTCACTCATATCATGAACAGTGTAGACTGGATGCTTGTGTTATTGCAGCCGGCGACCATCTGTATGCGTTTGGTGGGAACATTCCTCAATCAAGTGACTACGTTGCCATAGCTGAGAGATTTGACACTTTGAAAAACAAATGGGAGAGAATTGCAGATATGCTGGAAGGAAGAAGCTGCGCTTTTGGCGTTGCCTCTCGAGAAAAAATCTTTGTAGCTGGAGGAGAAAACATGACAGGAAGATTAAAAACTTGTGAGATGTACAATACGTTAACAAACGAATGGCAACTTGTTGCAAACTTGAAAGTCCCACGCTGTTATGGTAGTATGGTTTGTCTGGACGGAAAGCTGTACGTACTGGGTGGAGAAAGTAATTTAAACCGAAAGGAACTAAGTGTTGAATTTTTGCACCCTGCAAACGACCAATGGTTCCTCCAAACAACCATACCAGACCTCGACCCACAAAATAATTCATTCACTGGCTGTGTTCTGAGGCTTTCTGAAGAATTACTGAACCGACTTTCTAATTTTAGAAATTACTAGACAAACTTATGATTGTTGAGCAGTAGTCTCTTTGACACTTTACAGCTTTAGAATTAGTCATGTTGTTCACAGCAGACAGCAGACACAGCCCTTCGTTTTTTATTACCTTAATTTAGAAGCTCACCAAAGGAAAGGCTGAGTTAAATCAATGGTCCCTTCTCACTAGTTACCGTTTGCTGTAAACCTTATACTTTAAACTGTCTCACTAGAGATAGCATGTGTAGTCATGTTTACAGCACTGGACTTCTAAGTCTTTAAGCACCTTTCACACTGAAAGCTTCTCAAGTCCAAACCGTAGCATTGCTTGAATGGACATAGGGGCGTACTAGGGCCTGAGAGAGTAAAATCGGCAAAAGTTTTCCTCTAGACTTTGTCCTATTTGAATGAATTTCCTTCAAATCCAGAAACCAATAAGAAGTCAGGTTTGAAGAAGAGAAACGGGAAGCAGATTAGTGAATAACAGTAAGAGTAAAATTGCTATCTTATTCATAAAAACTAAAAAACAATGTCAGCTTAAAGGAAGATCCTGAAACGGCTCGGAGTTCCAACCTCAAAGACGCGACGATTTTAAGTGCCTGCATAATTTGGAAAACATGTCTTAAATTAATAGAACTAAATCCATCAAACCAGAAAGCCTTAAGGAAAATTATTTTTTCAATGCTTAGGGGAAGGGAATGGGGGGGGGGGGGGTTTGAAGATTTTGGGAGGATCACATGGTTTCAGGGGAAACGGAGGGGAAATCAGTCGTTGCTAAGTAAGCGTAAGGGATGGACCGGAGAAAATTGACAGACAACTAACTTCCAATGAGGGTAAGGGGGAGGGGGGGGGGTGGGTGGGTGTGTCATGAAAATATTTAAGAGCCTTATGGGAGCATTAGGTAAAATTATCGTGACACAACCAAAATCCACTTAACAACGCCCCAACCCTCCCCTGAGCGATAAATAATGACCGGTCCTCTATGATTCGCTCCACTCTTTCACCGAGTCTGAATGCTGGTGAACACGTGACTTGAAGTGGCTCTTGCCTTGATCTTTCATAAGCCGAGTTTTGTTTGAAACAATACTGACTTTCCAG